AAGTGGTGAATGCTCCAACACTGGAAGTTTTTAAGAAGAGACTGGACAGCCATTTGTCCGAAATGGTATAGGGTTTCCTGCCTGAGCAGGGGGTTGGACTAGATGACCTCCAAGGTCCCTTCCAACTTTATTATTATTATTATTATTATTATTATTATTATTATTATTATTATTATTATTATTATTATTATTATTATTAAAAAGAATTATTTGCATTTTAAATAACAACTACAGTACTTCTATGTAGTTAGGGATCTCAATTTACAATGATAATGTGGAATACAGGTAGTCCTTCACTTACAACAGTTCATTTAGTGGCTGAAGTTACAACAGTACTGAAAAATGTGAGTTATGACCATTTGTCACACTTATGACTGTTGCAGCCACCCAAGGGTCACGTGATCAAACTTCAGACGCTTGGCAGCTGACTCATATTTATGACGGTTGCAGTGTCCCAGGATCATGTGGTCACCTTTTGCGAACTTCTGACGAGCAAAGTCAATGGGGAAGCCAGATTCATTTACAACTGTGTTACTAATTTAACAACTGCAGGGATTCACTTAAAAATTGTGGCTAGAAAGATTGTAAAACCGGGCAAAATTCATTTAACAAATGTTTTGCTTAGCAACAGAACTTTTGGGCTCAATTGTGATCGTAAGTCGAGGACTACCTGTAATTAAATATAACGGTTCAATATCAGAAAAGTTTAAAATGCAGTACTATAGAGAGAATATTTTTTTTCAAAAAATAATTACAGAATGGTAGCATTTGGTAATTGTATTTTTTTCCCTTTTAATAAGCAAACATTGATTTGTTTCAAACAGCAAACTAAGATGTAATGTGATTTGATTTTATACATTATGAGAACTCATTTTTACAAGGAAGTAATATGATTGCCAAAATAAATCAAGGAAAGACAGACCTTAAACGTCACATGAGTATCCGTAAGGAGAGGTCCTTCAACTTCAATGATTGGAGTGGACTGATCCCTGCTGATGACATGAATATTTGCACCACCTGTGGGATCCATCCCGTCGGCTAAGTTCTCTGCCGTGGCACCATCTGTAGTATTAAGTGCTTTAGCCAAAGTATCAAATGCCCTGCAAATAAGAGTAAGTATATCATATAAGCTTTTCATAGTACATTTATCAACGAGACATAAAACCACTGAAATCTTGTCCATCAATCAATAACATCATCAACCCCCAAACAGGAAGTTATTTGCAGCTCTAGGAAAATTGCCAGGGTTTCCAGGCATATAAAAGTACTTTACTGACGTTAGATGGGAATAAATGAAATGGAATGCATTCTTTGGCACTGCAGTACTATAAGTACACTT